AAACAAGGCTGTTGTTCAACAGAGAGGGAAGGCGGCTCTGGGGAGGCAGATGGAATAGAAGGCAGAAGGAAGGTGACACCTCTGAATGCTGTTTGTGTGCTCGCTGTACTTGGGGAGCTGGCATGGGCCAGGACACCATGCAGGGAAAGGCTGGAGGGGACTCCCATTGCTGGTGTTATGCAGGCAGCCCCCGATTTGGTTTTAATTCTGTACGTAAAATCTGTCCTCCTATAATCAAACACCAGCCAGCTCTTCCTTTCTGCTGATTACAGGGATCCCTGCCTCTCTCCTGGGTCTCTCTCCCTCCCGTCTCTCAGCCATGTCTCTCTCCTGGTTTTGTGTGCACAGAATCCAAATGTCTGGGCTCAGAAGGGGCATCTGTGCTACCTGAGGAGGGACTTTGGCGAGGCAAAGGAGTGCTATGAGCGAACCATCAGTTTTGTGGAGGATGCTGTGGATATGCACTTCGTCTGCCTGCACCTGGGCTCCATCTACCTGGAAGAGAAAGAGGTGAGGAGCCAGTGGGAGTGGTGGAAGGGAATTTGCCAGAAAGCAAACAGCAGGAGATTCCAGACCCCCACAAGGCACCATTATTTGTAACTGTAGCCAAGATCTCACAACACAGCAAGCCCTTCAGGAGTGCCCAGCTCCTTGGAGCATGGGCCTGCCCTGATCCTTTGTGCCAGCTCCAAGTGCCTGTTGCCATGTCTCAGGGTGCTGCTGAGCCATTTCTCATCCTCCTAGTGATGTGGGGCACCTCTATGTTACTGTATTTGCACCTGCCTGCACAGAGCCACTGCCTCGGGGGCAGCAGCAGGCAGCCTTTCAGCCCCCCCAGCAGCGGTGGGGATGGTGGGTGTCTGACCCCCACAGGAGCTGGGGTGTTTGGCAAATTCCTGAGGAGAGTGGGCTGTCTGTGGAGCGGTGGGTAAGATGCAGAGGAAACATGCTTGTCTCTCTCCTGGCAGTACGGCCGGGCGAAGCAGACCTACCTGCTTGCCTGCAAGAACTCTCCATCTTGTCTCACCTGGCTGGGGGTGGGAATTGCCTGCTACAGGGTGAGTGCAATTACCTTCAACCCGTTTGTGCTTGAATTGGCTCTGTGTCAGGGGATGCAGGGCTTGCTTTTGCAGCATCCCCTTTGACAAATGAAAGCTTGGCTGCCTGGGAAACCGATGCTCCTGAAGGCCATCATGGGCCGTGCTGTCACAGTCCCAGTGTGGCACCCCAGGCTGCTCGTATGGGGGGTGTCAGAGGACAGTCACCCTCAGCAGCTGCTCCGGGAGCAGCAGTCCTTCCCCGCTTTGTCCCACTGCTGGGACTGCCAGCACCTCCTTCCTCAGGATGGCATGGTAAGGGCGTCATCTGGGCCTGGGCTTTGCTCCGAGTGCCTGCCTGCACATGACTGCATGTCACCAGGAAGGAATCGAGCAGCATGTCAGCAGAGAGGAATCTCGGTGCTTTCCCTGCCCAGAGGAATCCAGCACCTCTGAAGGGCTGCCAAGGATACCCCCCACCAGCAGCGCGGTAGCTCCCGGAGGTACATATACCTCGAGAGGTTCCTCCAAGGGAGTTTGGCTTAGGGATGCAAACAGGGAAAGAACCTGGGCTTCTGTGTCCCCCTCAGCCCAATGTAGACCCCTTGGGGGGCTGCAGACTTAAGCCAGGGATGTGAGCGGTGGCCTAGGAGCTGACTGCAGCCCCCCAGGCACCAGCTACCCCTGCCTCCCAGCAGCCACCACATAGTAGGAATAGGGGTCAGGACTGGAGTCCTGTTTCCCCGTGGAGCTGGACCACTCGGTTCCTGGAGGTGAAGGCATTTGTGCCATTTTCCTTACAGCTGGGGACTGATTTGGGAATACAGCATGTCCTCCCACAGGGGCTGGGAGTCAGCAGTGAGAGGCTCATGCTCCAGACCAGAGTGCTGGACGCTGGCACTGAGGATAACTGATTGTGTTGGCCCCAAATCCTTTCCCTGCCTCCCCATCTGCGAAACCCTGCCAGGCAGTTCTGTTGCACCGTTTTCTTCGGCCGTTAGAGCAGATGCCCACCGAGTTCTGGAGCCCTTTCTGCCTGCTGTTTGCCTTTTGTCCATGCCTCTCCTCCTCTCTCTCTCAAGCTGGAAGAGATGGTGGAAGCCGAGGATGCTCTCTCTGAAGCCAATGCCCTAGATAACACCAACGCTGAAGTGTGGGGATATCTCGCCCTCATCTGCCTGCAAGTGAGTGCCCAGCCAGCTCCTCCCGAGCGAGCTGGGGGTGTTTATCAGCATTTGTTCCCGAGCCTCAAGCGCAGCTTGTAGATCTCGGTGGTAAAAATAGTTTGGGGACCGTGCTGGGATGGCAAAAGCAGCGCCCATCCCGCCTGTCCTCGCCTGATGCACGTATTCCCCTGGGCTTTCTTTACAACACGGTGTTTCACCAAGAACCTGTGCATTTCCTGCGGGATGCCGTCCTCACTGGCTGCTCTGTCCTTTCTCCAGGGAGGACGGCAGCTGGAAGCAGAGCAGTGCTACAAATACGCCATCAAGGTCCGTGTCTCCACACTGCTGTGGGGTCGGTAGGGCAGGCCAGGGGCTGCCGGTGGGGTAAGGGAAGGGAACCGGCCCCCACTGTTCCCCCCCTTTGAACCTGCAAGTTTAATTTGACGTCCTGGCATAGCAGAGACCACGTATGACGATGCAGCATGGGAAAAGCCGCCCTTTCGGAGCTCTTGCCCTCGCTGCTCCCCTCCCGTTGG